ATATATATATATATATATATATATAAATATATATATATAATTGTTTTTTTTTTTTTTGCATGAACTGACCATATAGAAGCACTATTATTTGTTTGTAATATAATATGTATTTATATACATAAATACACATTACATTACATATAATTTGTGTATGGTGAGAGGACAACATTAGCTGTTAGTAGCTGAGGTCATGCATGTGGAGGCAGAGTGTCATACTCGCACAGATCAGTCAATGACTAGAGAGCCAATCAGACACAGGAGGAGCAATAATAATCCCCTTTAGAGTAATTTGGCAAAAGCACCCTTGACATTGCGAGCCTTTTGAAATCAGTTAAGTTTATTTTTTATAATTTATATTTAATCTGCACTGAAAATGCTTCATTCTGAATTCAATTATAAAAAAGACTTTAAAGGTGCTATTTGTATTAAAAATGCTTTTGAAGATATTTAAGAAACGTGCTAAGTGAACATTCTTGTTTATCTGAAAAACAATGCTGAAGTCATTTATTCTGCTTTAAAAATGTCTGTTACATGCCGGTTACATGTCTTTGTTTTGGGTTTTTTAACCCCTCCAATGGCAATTTAGCCAATTAAATTTTAGCACCTGGGTTGCTTTGTTGGGAAAACAGCTTATTTCATTTATTCATTCACTCAGAAAGGCTCTCAAAGCATGTGCCCTTAACCTAAATGCGACCTCCGGTAAACAGTAGCAAACGCCAAAATAAGATGCAGGTTCAGAATTCCACATGAGGTTATTCATTAGCAAATAATATACATATTATGAATGTAAACATTAGGTAAGCAGGTTACATTGTCACCCTGTGTCCTAACAACACGGTACATGATGAAATTTGCGGTGATGAGCAGTTTGCACCAGACGAAACACGACACAGCCATTCAGAAGCACAGAATTTGCACTCACTCATGAAATGGTGAGGCTTATAATCTAATTCAGTGGTCACCAAACTTGTTCCTGGAGGGCCGGTGTCCTGCAGATTTTAGCTCCAACCCTAATCAAACACACCTGAACAAGCTAATCAAGGTCTTACTACAGTAGGTATACTTGAATCATCCATGCAGGTGTGTTGAGGCAAGTTGGAGCTAAACCCTGCAGGGACACCGGCCCTCCAGGACCGAGATTGGTGACCCCTGATCTAATTAATACATATTAAAACTCTTTAACATTATTAAATGTAGGTACTGAATCACTGATACAGTATGTGTTGGTTTGCATTATTTCACAATTCTAAAGTTCAATTTCAAATGGTTTATTATTTTCAAGATCTAAGGTGAACTATCTGCTGCTGCTTTCAGTAGGATGGCAAAAATCATCACTTTAGAATTCAAGGTTCTATCTGACATTTTTGTCAGAATTGAGTTATTGACATTCTTTTTAAATGACAACTTATGTACATTATGGGATGTTGTTTACATTTGAAGACTTTTTATTAAAAAAACAAAAAAAAACAAAAAACAAATGTTACACATGTACTGTTTGCTATGGAATGCAAAAACTTTGAAGCTCATTATCTCAAAATCATTTAGAATGCAGATAGAACCTTATAATTCCAAGGTGAGGAAATGTCATGTAAAATGGCGTTCAAACTCACATTGTTAGCATTTAGTACTAAATAAAGCACACGTGGTGTACTGGAGCTGTCATTTATCCTGTTGTTCACCTGTGGGAAATAGAGGCTGTTTCTGATATATATCAATTTGAGGTGTTGGTTAGGACAAAAACTCCTTTCAATATGAAAATCTTCCTTCTATCATGTGCTGTTGCTTTTATTTAGAACACGATTTAGATCAGCCTTTAGGCTCAAGACTTTTGTTGGTCATTAATCTGGCAACCTGAGCGTGCATTAGTTTTAATTGATGAACAATACCTAGTTCAACCATTGGGTGTCAAACTTACATACTGCAACTTTAATTTCAACTTTTTTTACAGAGTTAAGTTTTTTTTGTACTCGCCTTTGTTGGGTTGGGATGAACTTATGCGTTGCATAAATACTGTTTTTTATGATAAACCAGGTTATTTGTACATTATAAATAATAATTTTTTTGTGCTCACTGTTTTATGATTTGCTGGGACATAGAACATAAATCATTTTTCCCTACAGAGTGACATACCAGTTTCAAACATGTGACTCTGAACTCCTTGATAAAGAGTCAGAGTGCGTTCGAAGTCCCACCATATGTGTTTGAGCTTCTGTCAAAGAGGAGTTTACATTGCCAGGCTCTCCACAGCATGATAAATGGACTAATGAATAGTTAAAGGAAATTAAAATGACCTCCGAATAGAAAAGCAATTAATCAAGTGCAGACATGCATCAAGGTTATGTGCTTAGGATTGAGGGAATCACAGTTATTAAATTGTCTGTATTAATTGAATATTTGCTCTGCTGTAGATGAGTCGCAATTACTTGAAGAGCTTTTAATGAATTTAATCGCTCTGACAAGGGAGGAAGATGACAGTATCGTGTCCCTCATTGAAGTCCCCAATCAGAAAAGTGCAGAATTTGAGACACGAATATGAAAAGATGCCACATGAAAATATTTTCCTCTCGACGTCATTAGCTAAGGGGGTGCTGTAGATATGAGATAGGACTAATTAGCGAAACAAATCAGCATTAGCGAAGCATGGGTGTAATGTAGAGCATAGCGCAGTGCACTGTGTCACCTTCCTTTTGTCAGCGCTGGTAAAGCAGGACAGAATCAAGCCCAGAGACAAACAGCGCCAGATACGATCTGCACACAGTTTTTATTCAGTTACATCAATATCATATTAGATTACTCACAGAGTCGGTCTTGTCATTGCGATTTCATTAGCTTGGCTAGTTGACAGTGTGAGATACATTCTGTGTATAAACTGATAGCATCAGTGTGGCTATCAGTCAGCTCAAACGGGCCTGTATTTGAACTAGGCGACACACACAAGAGATTTACCTTGATAAATGTGTGTTTTTCTTCATTTAAATAGCTTGTTATCTTCTGTAAATGTGTACTGATGTGAAGTACTGTAATAAGGGATCATGTACAGTTAGCTGGTCATTATCATCCGATTACATGGGGATGATTAAGACCTGAGTGCAAAACAGGGGTGCTTTGATCACCCTGTTGGGGTTTGTTTTGCAATTAGCATTAGATGACTGTGCATTATTCCACCTAGCAGCAGATTTAACTAAATACATGGTCATGGAATATTGATTTGAGTTAAAACAGGCTGGAGTTTTACAAACAGGGATTCACAAAGGTGGTTTGTTACATCAAGAAAAGTTAATCTTTTAATTTTGTTTAATGTGATTTTTATTAATTACAGTGGGGAAAATGAGTATTGAATACATCACCTTTTTTCTCTGAAGACATATTTCTAAAGGTGCTGTTAACTTGAAATGTTCCCCGGATGTTGGTAATAACCATAGAAATACATATATAAAAGTAAAACAAATCTCATTCGTTTACAAATTAAGTTCTGAAGAAAAAGAGGTGTAGAAAGGTAGCAAAAGCCCAGACAGCAGCTGAAATCTCTTAGTAGTCATTCAGCCATTTTTTGCTCTTTGTTATTGCAAATAGTATTTACTGTTTCAGTCCAACATCTACATTATCAAGAAGATGAAACCAGGGTAGACATTTCAGCAAGACAATGAACCAAAATACAGCCAAGGAAACTCTCAAATGCTTTCAGAGAAAGAAAATCAAGCTGTAGAATGGCCCAGCCAGTCACCTGACTTAAATCTA